ATTTGTTCAATGGAAAATTTCAGTTCTGCACTTACCAGATCTTCATCTCTTTGTTTACAAACTAACAATTGGTATCAGAGCACTTTTGTTCTTGGAGGGATCGTGTCGTCTGAGTGTAAACACGTGAGGGAGTGATTTCAACCATGGAATCCTCTAATTTCACACCCAAAACTCCATACTTTGTAGGCCAAAACTACTCTGCTTGGTCTGTGAAGATGAAGGCCTACCTAAGGGCGTTTGATCTTTGGGATTTTGTTGAAAATGATAGGGAACCTGCAGCCTTTCCGGAAAACCCAACTTTAAATCAGATCAAGAGGCACACAAAAGAGTCTACAAAGAGGTACAAGGCTCTTACGTATATCCATGGGTCTGTGTCAGATAAATTTTCAACAGAATTATTACTTGCGAGACAGCAAAGGAAGCCTGGGACACAATCAAAGAAGAGTTCCAAGGAGATCCAAATTAATAACTTGAGAAGGGAGTTTGAGGTGTTGAGGATGAAAGAAACAGAGACAGTGAAGGAATATTCAGACCGAGTGATGAAGATGGTGAACCAAATAAGGGTCCTTGGTGGAGAACTCAAAGAAAAAAGGGTTGTTGAAAAAGTTCTTGTCAGCCTACCAGAAAAATTTGAGCACAAAATCTCCTCATTGGAAGATTCAAAGGATCTTTCAAGGATGACTTTGAGTGAACTTGTTGGTTCTCTTCAAGCCGTTGAGCAAAGAAAGGCTATTAGACAAGAAAGTACATCTGAAGGAGCTTTCCTTATGATAGGAAAAGGAAAAGCTCAAGTGAAAGAAGATGACACTCAGGTGATAGGTGGAGGTAAAAAGTAGTTCAACAACAGAAAAGGAAAAGAAAAGAGAGAGTACCAGTACAGCAGGTTTAAAGAAAGAAGGGACAACACGCCTTTTTGTTCTAATTGTCAAGTGAAGGGTCACTTGGATTATCATTGCTGGTTTAGACCAGGAGTGCAATGTAGAAAGTGCAAGAAGTTTGGCCATGTTGAAAGGGTTTGCAAGCAACAAGCAAATCGTGTACAGCAAGCTAAAGTTGCTGAAATTGTGGATGAAGATGAAGAGAAGTTGTTCATGGCATCAAAGGTAGAAAAGAATTGTGTCGCTACAGTGAATGGTGATTTATGGTTGATTGATAGTGGTTGCACAAACCATATGACACCAAATTTGAGTATCTTCAAAAGCATTGACAAAAGTTACTCCTCAAAAGTCAGATTAGGAAATGGAGATCTGGTGCAAGTGAAAGGCAAAGGTGTAGCTACAATAGAGACTTCTACAGGTATTAAATATATTCATGATGTGTTATTTGTACCTGATATAAGTCATAATTTGATCAGTGTTGGCCAATTATTGAAGAATGGTTATGTTCTGAATTTTCATGACAAAATGTGTGAAATTGTTGACAAGTCTGGTACTAGATTGTTTTCGGTAAAGATGTTTGATAGGAGTTTTCTAGTGGAATGGAAGCATACTAGGGTGCATGCTTATCCTAGTATTGTTGATGAATCTGAAATTTGGCATAAAAGATTTGGCCATTATTATTACAGTTCATTGAAACTGATGCATTCACATGAAATGGTTGCTGATTTACGTGCAATAGAAGATTGTGGTTCTGTGTGTGATGCTTGTCAAAAGGGAAAGCAATCCAAATTCCCTTTTTCAAAGAAAAGTAATTGGAGGGCTACAGAACCATTACAACTAATACAGTCTGACATTTGTGGCCCTATGAAAACAGAATCTATCAATGGGAGCAAATATTTTCTGTTGTTTATTGATGATTTTAGCAGGATGTGTTGGGTTTATTTTCTAAAGCAAAAGTCAGAAGTGTTTAATAAGTTTGTGCAGTTTAAAGTTGTAGTTGGAAATGAGATTGGCAAGTCAGTGAAAGTTCTAAGAACAGATAATGGTGGTAAATATACCTCACTCCAATTTGAGGATTTCTTGAAGAGCCATGGCATAAAACACCAACTCACAGTACCATACAATCCTCAGCAAAATGGTGTCTGTGAGAGGAAAAATAGATCAGTTATGAATATGGCTCG